TCTGGATGGTTCTGTGGTGACTTAGCTCTGTGTGCCTGGTACAGTGCTTCTCCTGTCGGCGTCAGCCTGGCCCCAGAGGCACAGGAGACCCCAGGTAAGGGAGTTTGCAAAGGCATGTTTCCTACAGCTCAGGAGAAAGGGGGTTTCACTTCCTCTGTGAACACCCCTGTGCATAGAAGAATCAAGTCTAGGATTTGGGGGTTAGGAGGGCAGTCAAGCTGTGAATTGGTGTGAAGATGCTTTTGAAGGTATTCATGATAGAAGAAGCATTGCCACGTGGCACTTGCCTCTAGGTCTGTCATCTGAGAAATCATTACCTCTTTCCTCACACCCTAAGCTATGAAAAATGAACAAGTAAGAGATTGGTTGGGCAATTAGGAAATGATAAAATTCAAAACTTTGAGTTTAGAAAAGAAAGTGGTTAAGTGTATGGTCTTAATGCCAGATAAGCCTGAGTTCCAATCTGAGCTCTTCCTTTACAGTGTGTGTGATCATGTAGAAATCACTTACCCTTTCTGAGAGGACGCCTGCTGTCTTAGACACCAGGCCATTCGTGGGTTCTCCAGATAGAAAACTCTTACCTCAAGAGGAAACTTTCTTCTCCACTATAATAGTTATTATCATCTCTCCACTATTATAGTTATTATCATCATCATCCTGACCATCCGAAGGTATTGAGGGAATATTCAATAAATTTTGGTAGGGCACAGACCACATACTATGAAGATTTGTTACAATCCTGGAAACCCATTAGCTGAGCGTGTGAACCCAGTAGAATGGCTGGAATTGGGTTCTCTGCTTATAAGAAGTATGAAACCAGTTTGGTTCTTTGATATGTAAAATGAGCATAACTTATATAACCCATGAGACTGTTGTGGGAAGAAAATGCAGAAAACTACATGGATTCCTGGTATATAGCAGGCCTTCAAAGAATGTAAAATCTTTGCTCATCAATACCATCATCATCTGCTGTTGTCGAGATAATACTCAAATAGAAATACAAAAAGTCTGTGTTTCCTTCGTCGCATAACACCTTTCTAAAACAAAACCCTATGCTTGTTCCTTTCATCCAATCTTCTCCCTTTCGTGAAAGAAGCAAATTGTACTTAAATTAAACAGAATAAGTGCTATTCATTTGGAATTATAGGAGAAATTGAATTGTATCTACATTTACATCATTTTGCATTCTAGCTCCATTTTGACATTGCAGGCTGAGAAAAAAAAAATCCTCCACATTTGTACTTTAGTTACTACCAGAAAATTTGAAATCATAAGGTCTTACTGTTATGAATTACAAAACACGACATAGAAAAAATTCTACAAACATTGAAAGCTGTTCCTGACATACTATTTCATGAAAAAGTCAGCTGGAAAACACACACACACACACACACACACACACAGATTAAAGATAAATATAAAAATATTTGAAGCGAATCTTTCTAGCTGTTATGGGAGTTATCAATAACTTCATCTTTGTTGTATTTCTAGTCTAAACTTTTTCAATAAGAACATGGAATTTTAATAATTAGAAAAACCCAGAAAGGTGAAAATAGTATAATTCTGTTTCTCCTTTCTCCTAGCTGAGATGGGGCTATTAACTTGCCCCGTTCCTTATTTGCTTTCTGTTTCATCTTACTTCTGAGAAGAACCTGGGATAAGGGTCAGACCTCTCTGCAATCTGGCTGAGAAGCTTCCCCTCTCTGTGTGGCTCTGCCCTCTACCTTGTAGCTAAATTTATGTTGTATTTCTGCCTTTGGTCACAAGGTGGCATTTTACAACTACTTTCTAAATAATCTCCCATAAAAGTGATATTAAATTTTCAAAGCTAATAATAAACACAATTTTCAAAAAACATTTTGAAACTGAGTCTGAATTCTGTTTAAATATACAAAAGTGTGGAAAGTACTGGAAAGATCTACCCACTGTTGCATTTGCTAGAGATTTGGATATTTCTATTTCATTTATAAATTTATTCAACAAATATTTACTGCATGCCAGGGATGTGTCAGACTGTGATAGCCAAAACAACTTCCTATGTTATCCAGTGATAGGGGCATAATGCTGCATAGACACATACTTATCACTTTCAGCCTGTCTATTTGAGTCCTTGAGACTCACTAGGGAAAGAGGAGGCAGTATTAAAAACACAAAACAAAACAGGAAAAGCATAGGTTTAGAACCAGAAAAATATTTTCAGTGGAATATAATCTGTTGGAAAAACCATTTTCAAGATCTGCCATATGACCCAGCAAGTCCACTCCTAGGG